TTGAAGTTCTTTTAGCAAGTGTCGGTTTCATCTTTACAGTTGAACTAATAGGGTCCCACTAGAGGGAGAGACAGAGTTGGTGGTTCAATTTTCACCAAGATTGGTATGTGAGAACCAATAATTAAATGGTTTGTATACATAGCATGGATGTGGCCAAGGCTTTGTAAGACTCAAAGATCTAGTTCATATTGCAACTACCCATCCAAAAAAATAAAAAATAAAAACAAATTATGTAAAGAAAAATATATGGGTCCCATTTGTCATAGAAGGTTACCCCTTTGTCCTGGAAAGTAAGCGCGAAGATGGGCTTTGACTTCTAGGTAAATTGCTCGACAAAGTAAGGTTGCCTCTTTCCATAATCACTGTGTGACAGCCTTTTGTGGGTTTTGGATGTTGGGGGCAGAAAGTAAATTGCAAAAGCCTAACATTAAGCTCAGATCATGAAGGATCGAAAACACCAAGGGGCTATTGATTTATGAAGATAAATTTTGTTTCTCACAATACATAAACATGCAGATATGTAAATATGTAACCAGTCACAAAGCAAAAGAATCAAAGAAGAATATATTCATCAGCTGTAAAACAAATATGAAACAAGGGTAAGAATAGATGGAGATGAAGCACTTACCACCAGTGATTCGGTGCAGCAGTGGTTGGAGTTGCAATGGTGAGTGGTGGTCGGAGTTATAGAGGTGAGTAGAGAAGAAGGGGCAGCGGCGGTGCTCTGCAAGAGAAGTTGCAACGGTAAAAGAAATTGGGTTTACAGTTAGATAAACATCAGATGTAAAGCATGGGATCAGTCTAGTGTGTTTTGATCCACAAGAAAAACCCATGGATGAGGAATTGGCCCGTGGTATGGACCGATCCACGAATTGGTGTACACCATAGGCCAACCAAACGTCTTAAGCCACCGCTGTGTGTTCCAAAACACAATATCTCGTGGTCATTCCACGATACCGAACACCACCCAAGTTATAGACATTTTTACCCAGGCTTTACCTGTCAAATGTTTTACTTTCCTAAAGACAAGCTTAATGTGCAACCCCAATTTCAGTTGAGGGGCGCATGTTAGAAAGTCCATCATACACGTTTCTCCTACAACATCACCATGCTGTATTTTAGTTACATAACGACTGTAACTTCTCTATAACACAAGAGAATTCACATTCATATCTATGATCTATTTGATTCAAGGCGTTGTAATTGACTTTTATTGATAATAGATTGAATTATTAAATTTCAAATTTATTTATTGCTCTATTCCAATGCATTCATCAAATTCCGGTTTGAAATGATGGGAGTTTTTATCCATTTCTCCTATTTCTTCCACTTTTTTTATGGATGGATAACAGGAGAAATTCTTCAGAAACCAAGAATGCTTGAACTGATTGTACTCTCTGATTCAACAAACCATAATCTGGTACTTTACGAGCAAAAGATTTTTGTAGTTCTCTGTATGTTTTATAAAAGTGGATGAGGGGAAATCAAAGTTCTTGATGGCAATTGGTGAGAGATGAGATTGAGGCAGTTGAGTGTGGCCGGAATTTGGTTGCCACCGCCAGTTCTGATTGCTCGAGCTCACATTACTGTAATGAACCCAAAAAGACATTTTGGGTTTCTGCTCTAAGAGCTTTGTCGGATGAATGAAGAGGCAAGGAAGACTTTGAATAGTGAAAATGCCATTAAGCACCCTCTTGTTAATTTTGGAATGAACTTGATGACATGGCAAAATTCTATTAGAAGATACATGTAAAAGGTGGACGAAAGAGTTAGAATCAAGGATTAAAGTATTGGTATCGGATAATTCAGATATGGATACGTTTTGGAAATGTATGGATGCGAACGAAAAATATAAAAAAACATGGATACGCTAGGAAAATACATATAAACAAAGTTCAAAGTATCGGAAACGTAAGGTGTATGGGAAAGATAATTTTAAGAGACATATCGAGATATGCTTTGGAAACGTATAGATACGGACAAAAAATCAAGATACACAAAAATCCAAAAAAAAATCCTTAAAAAATATGAACAATAATAAAATTGAGTTTTATGTGAGTATAACTAATTATTTAAACATAAAATCCATTATTTAATGATTTATATAAAGTATCGGGATATAATTAGTAACCATTGAAAAATAATAGAACTGAAATGTGTGTATATATACTAATATTTATCAGTTAATATTTATTATATATAGATTTAGATAATATTTATTATGTATACAAGTTAATATATACCTTAATTTTTAATAAATAAATATAACTTGCATTCATCTTATTATTATATAAATATTAATAATAAAATTTATAGCATTTATTGGGAAACATCCACCAAGGCAAAAGAGATTATTTTTAAGTATAAAAAAAGCAGTTGTTTTAATAAGCAATTAAGGTTGGCATATTGGTTTATTAATTATTGTTGTAAGTAAAATGACTTGGGTTCCAAACTTGTTACTTTTGGTTTGTGATTTTTAACAAGTTAATTCACTTAAATAACATTTAATGRCATATAAAGGTAACTTAAATGAGCATTTAATTGAAATATATTAACATTTAGTGATGTTTCAAACTTTAAGGATTAATTAAAATTGATATTAGTGAGAGAGAGAGAGAGAATAGCTAAATTAAATTTAAATTTAAAAAAGAGAGGGAAATTAAATTCGACTAATACATAATGCATACCGGCATGTTTCGGGTTGTATCGGCCAATACATACTCAAAACGGTCCGATACAAGTTCAACTCGGTTCGATACAAATGAAAAAATACGAAACCATCTAATTATTCATGTTATGTGTATCGAAACTCTTTCGAAACGATACGCATCGGCCAATTTTATTTATATTAATAATATAAATATCATATAATTTTATTTATAATGCATCAATCAAGAGTCTAAGTACGGGTGGATTCGAGCCGAGCCGAGCCGAATAGTATGAGGCTCGAGCTTGGCTCGAGACTATTCTACAAGGCTCGAGCTCGAGCTCGGTTCGAGCCAGAACCTTGAGCTCGGCTCGGCTCGAGATCGATTTTGAGAATAAATATTTTATAAAAATAAAAAATTATATATAAAAATATTTTTTATTTGATATTTAAGAAAATAGGAATTATAATAATTAATAATTATAATATTTTTAATATATATATATATATTATTTTCTACAATTTTATTATTATTATATATATATATGTATATATTATCTAGTAGGCTCGAGCTCAGCTCATTTCATAATCGAGCTAATGAATTGGGCTTGAGCTCGGTTAAAACCGAGCCGAGCCGAGATCGAGCAGCTCGTGAAAAGCTCAACTCATTGCCACCCCTAAGTCCAAGGCACTAAACATATGCACCTATTATATTTTAATTATTATATAAATTATTTTTATTTTACTTTTTTTTATTTTTTAACATTAACAAAAAGACAACTAAATATTAAATTCTCAAATACAAATTAAAATATTAATTAATAATTTGTAAAAATCTAATCTTAACTTAAAGTATATCAAATTTGTTAAAATTTATAATATACATATCATAAAATGCATAATTTTTAATTACTAAAATAATTATTCCTTTGTTAATATTTTATTTATATATTTTTTCTAATATGAAAAATAATTTTTTGAAATAAATGTAGATTAGTGGATTTGATAAATTCAATTTAATGTTATATTCTTGAATATTTTATAAACAATATTTTTCTTTTTTATAAATAATAATATGTTGTTATTACTTATTAATATAAATTAAAATATTAATTAATAATTTGTAAAAATATATAAAAATTTTAATATGCATATCATTTGCAAATTTATGAATTTTAAGTATTAAAATAACTATTCTATTCTTAATATTTTATTTGTATTCTTGATATTAAAAATCATCTTTTTATATAAACATGGATTTGATATATTATTTATTGTATTAGTTTATAAAATACTGTTTTTGAATATTATTCTTTTGAAATTTTAGTTTTTATTGTATTTGTTTTGAAATTTTAGTTAGAGTTGTTAAATATAAAGATGTGTTTTTTGTTAAAATTGCATGTAGAGATAGAAGTTAATAAATTTTATTTTATTTTATTTTTTATCGCAAGAAAAACATGGTTTAATGGCTTAGAATTGCATTTAAGGTGCAAGGCTTTGGACACGCCACCAATCCTGCACTTTTTTATAAAGAAACACTGCATATTGACTTGTGAGTGCTTGAGTGTCACTTAACCATTTAAGAGTTGAAATTATTTAGAAATTTAGATTTTCACAAAGACAATTAGACTAGAAATTAACAAATATATGTTATATTATACCTATATCTATACTACTATTAAAAGTTTAACGAGAGTTTGAAACTTTTGTTTGACTTAAATAACTCGATTTTTGAATCCAATCCCTCTAAGTACAGAAATATTATTTGAGCAACCACTTTTCTCCTAATTCAAATCCCTATTTTTGAATTTGATCCCTCTCTAATCGTGAGGTCACAAAATGTAATTTAAACTACTACATTTTTCCTCAATCAATTGCCTTTATTAAGTCATATATTTAGGATATTAACTCTTGTTCTTTTATTGAATCCTATATTAATTAACCATTTTTAAAACATAAGTGTAACAAAGAATAATTGTTTTTATTGATGATAAATAACATATAAATTTAAAACCAACCAAAAAAGAGTTGTTTTCCTATTTGGTAGTGAGTGAACAATTCAACTTTTTGGGTCAAAATGTATGAACCCTTCTAACTGATTCCGATAAAAACCCATTCCAACTGATTCTGATTCCTATCTGAACCAAACAAAAAGAGAGAATAGATCATTTCAATTTTAATTCTAACTGCAAACCAAACAGACCCTAACAGTTAATTACATCATATCCACTAGCTCTTGTAAGCTCCACTTTGATGGTAATGGACTAATAGTATCGGCAAAATAACATGAAATTGTTAATTACATTCAAGACAATTCTATGCTTTGGTTAGTATTGAAGGACTCGTTTACATGTCAGATCAATTAATCCAAATGAATTGATTTCATGTGCAAATGTTTTAATAATTGTATTTGTATGCACCCCCAACCAAAAAAATAAATATATAAAAATTAAAGACACCTGTCTGTAATTAATAACCATCAGAAAGCTTGCAGTGTAAATGAATCGACTTCACGTGCAAAATACACAGTAAAATTACATTGTTTCCGCGGGAGGCATTAAAAAAAATAATAAACACATCAGATTTTTCTGTTAACCCCCAAATAGGTATCCGGCCGCCTGTTCTTCATTACCATCAAAAAACCTAAGAGCCTGTATTGCTGCATCCCTCCCAAATCCAAGCTCAACAAGCTTCGAAACTTTGGCTTCAAAGTCTGGACCCTGCAGCCAAAGTTAAAAATCATTTAGAACCTACTATTATTTATTTTGATCATAAAATCAATTTAACATCAATATCATCAGCTCACTATTCTACCATGAACCATCCATTAAGCAGTACAAATTGATGATATGGGGCACAACTAATCACAACTGCACAATGTAAGAGACCCATAGTGTGTTCAACTAGGAAATATCAACTCTTTTAAGGCGCAACACTTCAGGATATCAAATATCAAACAAGATGATAACTCCAAAAGTTACATATAGGATTATTGGCTCTTCACATTGTGAATGTTTATGTTTGTATCACAAAGGCCATTATCGCATAATTTCAGGATCATTACTACCAAAATAAAAAATATGACCATTATAAGGCTTTAAATAAATATTTAGCAATCTCAATTATTCTTTGACAAATCAACTACATTATATATCATGCTTTATGATAAAAGTTAATATATCCCTGCATCAACTAGCATGCTATTGTGTCGTTTATCTACAAAAGACATAGCCAGCCTCAGGGCTGTTCTGGTCTCTCCCACAGTGCTTTGATGATGTGAGGGTTTCATTCAATTAACAGTAAACGCTTCATCCTACTTAGACCTGTTCATGGGCCGGGCCGGGCTTTCACTTGTTATTAAGGGAAATATGTTAGGCCCGAGCCCGAGCCCGGCCCGACCAACGGGCCTATAACTTGGACCCGAGCCCGGCCCTGATAAAAAGCCCGAAGCCCGAGCCCAAGCCCAAAGCCCGACCTAATAAAAAAAAACAATTTTCCCTATTCAAATTAGAATTAAAAATTCAGATAGTTTTTTTTTTTCCTATTTAAATGAACAATGGGCCTACAAGATGGTTTTTTTCCCCTTTCTTTTATATTTTAAAACACAGTTTTGCATTCTTAAATCAAAAAATTTATTCAAATGGACATAATCGCATTACTCACTTTAAGTCTAATATTAGGTCGGGCCGGGCTATTTTGACAAAACCCGAGCCCGGCTCGAATTTATTACGGGCCGGGCTTTTTGGCCCGAATTTAAGCCCGCGGGCCTATAACCACGTTCAAGCCCGTCTGGGGGCCGGGCCGGGCCGGCCTGTCGGGCCACCCGACCCATGAACAGGTCTAATCCTACTAATTAAAAAAGGAAGAGCAACCTACCACCCTTATACATGGGACAAGTGCCAAGGGGAGGACCTTTTGTTCATTAAGGGACGTTGCAGGATTTGGTAAGTCTGCAACCCTTTCTTGAATCAGCAAAACTACCATGCAAGCTATTTTTCTTACCCCTACTAATAGGATATCTTACCTCAAATGATGCAAGCAAATAATTTTTAGTATCATTAATTATAATAATTTAAAGCTGAAACAAGAGATCCACTTTACCTGTGTTGGGTCAGTTTGCGGGGTACCTGTGAGCAAAGAGAGAACTATGGTTAGCATTACTTCCACAGATAGGAGATAGAATATGTAGATATGTCCCCCACTAGCCATGCCTAACTACCTAATGTATAGCATATTGGCAAAAGCAACCAGAAACCATGTTGCCCATGCCATAATCATTGACATGGTTTGGACAGCAGGCACTCAGTTTTAAATGGACCAGAATCAAGTAAAACTAATGAGGAAAAGAGAAACTCCTAAGGAAGGATAGGCTATTGCAGAGTCAAATAAAATAGTGGAAGGCATGAAAACTGGGATGATTTCCAAAACTAACCAGAAGATTGCCCTCCAGTAGGCAATTTGCCATCGTTCTTTGTTCCAGATGCTTCCTAAAAGAGACAAATAAACAAACCAGAATTATAAAGAGCACAGCAAAACTCATATTAAAAGGCATAATATTTTTTGGTAGTAAATAAAAATAAATTCTTATTGAAGAGAGAGAAAATCAGGAAGAGTACAAAGATTCCAATATAATAAGAAAAATAAAAAGTGACGAGCAACCACCAACATAGAAAAGACAGACTGCTAAACTTTTGTATCAAAAAAAAATCTATCCCAGGACCTTTCCCCATCCAATTGTTTCCCAAACGCTTGCCTCAAAGGAGCCTTTGAATCTTCTCTGAATTCTGGTAAATTAGAACCCAATCCGTGCACAAGACTTCATCCTGCTACACACTTTTCCTTCAAAAATCCTTTTATTTCTCTCTTTTCATAGTTCCCAGCAGACTGCGAAAGGAATACAGCTCCAGAAAATTTAAGCTTTTTTGCTTCCTAGTAAATTAGGCCAATACGCAAAGATTTCACTTGGTGAACCCAGTGGCCAAAATGTCTTTGTCTAAGAGACAGAAGAAAAAACCCCAAACAAAGAAAGAAAACATGCAGCCATAGAAAAGGTGAAGCACATCCTCTTCATTCAACTCACAGAGAGCACACCTGCTTGCTAGATGAACGCCTCTCCATTTGATATGATTTTGCATCAGGATATGTCTAAAGACACCAGCCAAGCAAATGCCTCTCCTCTTGGAGGGATTGGATTTCCACCAACACCTGTAACCTCTGACCTTTTGATCTGATTTCTCACAAGAGCTTTGTAGAAAGATATCACTGTAAATCATCCATCTCTGCACTCTTTCCACCATCTCTCATCTGGCATTTCAACATTGATCTCTACCTCTTGTAGTCTGGACAGCAACTGTATACATTCTTCCACCTCTCGATCCAGCAACAGCCTCCTAAACTTTGGAGCCCAAACCACCAAACCCTGCCTGATTTCATAACATTGTGCTATAACAATGTTCTTTTCACTTAGATTATAAAGTCTTGGACATATCTCAAAGTTTCCCAACTCCCAACCAATCATCCTCCCAAAACCGAATGGTGTTACTGTTACCCAAACCTACCCTCCATCCTGTCAAAGTGACCATCAACTGATGAAATTTCATAATTCCTGTTAGTGTCGAGTATGTAGGGGTAATTCTGTCTTTGTGCTTGTGTTTAAGTGCTAATGTGTAAGTTTATGTTAGATTTAATGTCCCCAAAAGTAGGGGCATATGTGACTTTTCCACATTATTTTAGTAATATAAAATACATCTGGCCGAATGGGAGAGTGAACTTTTTCTCTCATTCGAACCAGAATCTTTTCTCCTTGTTTCTC